ATATAGAGCTCCCGGATTGGACAGATGGTCGGGGGGTAGGGACACGCAGAAGCTCGACGTCAAAGCGTTTGTGAGTGAAACGTTCCCAAAAGCGCAGCAAGATGGGGTAAATGAGCTTCCACCCCCCTTTTACAGCGTTTCTTTAGGAGTTTTTTTTGCTGAAATCATGTCCCGTAAGCAAGAAAAGAAGACTATGAACGTAGCTGAAGCTTTGGACAAGATTTTTTCCATATTTCAATTATTGTGCCAAATTGTGCCAAACTGTGCCAACATGGATTACGCCTGAACTTTGTTCAATCAAAACCTTTACAGAATATTAGTTTCTTGTAGTATGAACACCAAACTTGCTACAGATGTCCTTGACATGTAGTGGTTACAATTGATTGTGTTTATTTGCTTCGTTATAAGTAAAATAAGGAGATATTGGAGGAAACATGTGTTTTTTTTTTAGGCGGAGTTCATTTTTTCGCCATTCCAACATCAATTACTCTTACCCAGTGTTCTTGACTGTCAAATTAACTCATCCACACCACTCCCCAAGAACCTATCTTCATTTTGATACCAAGATTTGCAGTTTAGACCTTGTAAAAGCTGAGAAATGCCTTAAAAAGTAAAAGTATAGGATTTTCGGAAAATAGGCCTCAGGGCTTAAGAGGTTAAACATGTGTCATGAGGCTATATATTGTGAATCAGTAATGTTATCGGTCTTCATTTTTTATAGAACAGGGAATTTAAGACCAAAAATTGTTTCATTTTGGCCGCCCCCAGAAACCCTGTTAATTGTAGTGGTTTCAGTTTAAATTGGGCTATTTTCAGTCTGTTTGGACCGAATAAATTAATTTAAAACTTGTACACCATCCTATTTGTAATAATAATGATGGTCTCCAGCTTCAGTCTGGCATACGTGAACTTTTTCGTGACTGTTTTCAAGTCATTTCTCACGAGTGTTTGGTTGCGCAAGACACAGTTTCAGAACATGGACAAACTTTCCCGCGATTCTGTCTAAAGTCATGCCGTATGAAATCCTCTGTCGCCGCCAATCAATTGTGCAGTATGGATTCATTAACGACTGGATGCTGCTCCTGACAGTCCTTCAGTGTGAAAGCATCTGCGACACGACTGCTCTGATATTCGTGCAGTCTGAACCGGGCTAACACTACACTACATTCCTTCCAAATATAAAATATGATGTACCTTTGGAAGTGTTGGTTTGACTGAGAAGGGATTCAGTGGGGATCCTGGTGTTCGCTTCTTCTTCAGATTAATGATTGGTGGCGGAGTGAGCACAGCAGACTTCTGTGAAGCAAAAATGAAATCATGAATCCGAAAAACAGATACAGCATGTCTTCACTAAGCAAACAACTGTGATTCAAACACATTTACCTCTGAGTGCAGATCCTGAAGAATGTCTCCCAGAAGATCATCTTGAGATAAATCCACATGTTTCTGCAACACAAAAAAATTTTTAAGGAAGGGTTTTCATTCTAAACTCTTACTTCCCATTTTACTGCCTCAGTAAATTGACACAGGACTTTTACCTCAACAGGTTTCTTCACGTTGCTATTCATGAACAGGCTTTTGATGCTGTTGGGTTTACTGACAGATGACTTTTTCACATTACTTTTTGAGTCGCTGCCTTTGGCTCCCTGTTTACCTGTTGCATTACAATAAAAAGCACCGGAAACAAGATGACGGACATTTTCGTATTGTGAAAATTACACTATTCTACAGAAACGCTCTATAGAATTTTATCACTCACTTTTAGGGCCCCTTTCCAGGACATCGTCCTCCAGTTCATCATCAAAGATTTCTCTGCCATCCTCCACATAGCCAGTTCCATCTGACGAAGAGAGAAACGTTGAACTCTTGCGTTTGGTTTGACAGAGGACGAAGAACCTGTGACTAACCGTCATCAATGATCCAGTCATCGTCCTGGCGGTCTCGTACTATTTTCGAGTACTGCTCTTCATCCACCTCCTCATACACGCTGGTAAACTCCTCCACCTGGTTACATCATCACATAAATGCACTGAAACCGATCAGAAAAAAAAACCTACAAACTCACAAGACACCTCACCTCATATTTAACCTTCTCCCCCTTCTTAGCTCGTTTAAGTTGTTCTAAAGCTGACTTGCGACCAACTTTCTCTTTTTTCTCCCTCCTGGAACGGGAGGCAGCAATGCCACATGTATCAGATGTGTCTACAAAAACAAAGTGTGATTACTACTAATGAATCATAAAGACGAGGATGACTTTTTTTTTATAAATGCTTTTCTATACAGATTGCAATCTATAGTTTACAGAACCAACACTGATATCTGGAGATTTATACTGCATTATTTACAAAATCTAACAGATTTAGGTTACAAAGCAATGGCTTGACTTGCTGTAACACACAGAGATGTAGAGGGTTTAATATCCATTTATGTCCATGGGAGAAGACATGGTATCCTGCACAAGCTGAAGTTTGAGTTGAATGGAATAAAGTATTTTAAAAAACACAGGTTGATTAAAAGATGTTGTTTTTGACGAATATTGTGTTTCAAATGGACCACTGCTAGTCTAGAAATTTTAGTCTAAATGAATTGAAAATGGCAAAATATAATTAATTTTACCATTTATATTTTGTTCAAAGTTTGTTATGGACAACCTGATATCTCTTCAACAAAAATGCACCCAATTGTAATGTTTTTCCTGTAGTTTATAAAAGTTAAATGTGTATCACATTTATGTGATATGTGTTAGATGATGATTAAAGTGTCTGGAGCCAACAAACCTTCCCCTTTCACAACTTCAGACTTAACACAGGATTCTGTCATGGGCATCCCAAAAAGAAAACAAAAGTTAACTCTTGAGCAAAGGGTAAAGAGAACTCTTTCATAGTGTTACGTTAGAAGGAAACTAAATTCTCTGCTTCGCTGTTAGTTAAGTTAGTAAGTGCCTCACTAATATACAATTTATAAATTTTATGTTTAATATATTCATATATTTAAGGAAGAAATATCAACTTAAAGGGTTAAACATACAGATTCCAAATGGATTTTCTATTATCTACTCAAAATAACACTAACGTTTTAATTGACTAATTATTACACTAATGCTACTTAGCAGCGACTTAAGATAATGTTACTAAAACATGTGACCTGTTTTAGTGTCAACCAAACAAGGTTTATAATAAGGACCGACGTAAACAAATGTACTCGACAAATATTAAATAAGATGTAGAAACATTAAATAACGCATATTATGGGTCAGAAGCTACACGGAGGCATTGTTGCGCTGTCAGCAAAGAATCTGAGTTCTCTGCCTCATTTAACCGCTTTACATAAGGGTTTGCGAAAAACACTGAACTGTCTAAAAATACTCACCGCAATCACCAGCTTCCATGTCTTTATCGCGATTGGAAACAGGAGCCATTCTTTAAAATGAGCACTAAAATCCAGATCAAACTCAACCTGCCTCCGAACGCCAAAACAACAGCTTTCGCGCCAAATTGTCTTCCAGCGGGGAAACTCTAGCAGCGGATATGACGTTCACAGCAGCCGACCAATCAGAATGAATGACTACGTTTAATATAGTCTCTGTCTCAATACAGAGGTCTCTCCTCTGGAGGATGCAGGTCTAGCCTCATCTAACCACAAAATTTCTCATTCTAACTCCACTGTCTGTTCATTGGTCCCTACGACAAAATAACATGTAGTAACAATAAGCATACATCACATTTAGGTGGCTACGTTAACGTCATATTTTTAAATAAAAAAAACTAGGATGTTTTAAATGCTACAACCACTACAAGCATTTAAAGAATCCCTTTGAGTACTGTCTTTAATAAAAACCTGTTGCTCACATTTAAATAAAAATTCAAAAGTATTGCTTACTACAGTGTTACCACGAGATACGAAAGTAATCCATTCCAGGGTGACGTTCGTATGTCGAACAATTTGTATATCGAAGCAAGCTTTACATGTAAAACGCCTAATCCGTAACAACAGCTCTCAGAAACAACAGTATAAGTTGATAAAAAAGGGAAAACCAGAGAAAAATCAAGTAATGTTTCTTCAATCCTTACATCAACACATTGTTAATGTAATAAATGACAATAAAACACACGCAAAATATGTAATATGTACACAAATGTGAAACCTTACCTTGAGAGTGAAGCGATGTGTCGGAGGAGGTGGAACAGGTGGCGGAAGTTTTACATTATAGCAGTACAAGATATACAAATACGAGATATTTTATGAATTACTGACACCAACAGAGTTTTAAGTACAAGCGTAAAGAATACAGAGTGTATGAGAAGGGATGGAGAGAGCGCTTCTGAGAACTTTCGTAACAGAACAGCACTTTCCACGTTATAAATGTTATTTTTTTTACAACACCTTCAATCTAACATTTGTTATAACATTATTGGTAATCTACATATAATGTTCAGCTCGATTTAAAACTGATTTAAAGTGTTTTAAGGCGTATCAGCCCCTTAAAGCACACTTTCTTCAAAGGGAGAAAGGAGCGCAAGGACACGGAAGCGGAAAAAAGTGGAACAAGTGGAAAATAGAGCAGAAATGTTATTTATTGTTCGTATCTCGAATTTGAAAGTTTAGGCAAAATGGGACGGATTTCATGCAGCGTTGTGACGTAACAGCCATAAAAATTCGTACTCCAAAGGATCGAACCCTGGATTTAGACGCAGCTGAAGACTACTATAGACTGCCCTCTGCCTATAAATGTTTCAATACATTAATCGCTATATTTAGTACGAAATGAATACATTTAATCAAAAGAGGGAACAACAATTTACATTAAGATACACAAGGAAAAGGTGACAGTACACAGTTTGAGAAAAAAATATCTCTCTCTATACAGATTGAATCTGAGATTGAACTCAGGGATTTTTTTATGGTTCCTTTCGAAACCCTCATCACAATGACCACAGTATAAGCTCTTTTATTGTATTCTTGGACTGAACTTTAATCTTTCATTTTGGTTAAGAAAAAGTCGACTCTGGTGGGACTCGAACCCACAACCTTTGAATACCGACGTTGTATCAACCTAGAAGTCCAATGCGCTATCCATTGCGCCACAGAGCCGATATAGTATTTTCTTCGTTTATCATTACTCCAATGTTCTGCCTCAGTCGGTTTAGCTAAAGCCATTAAACTGATATATTTATCAAAAATATAACTATATTGACCAACACACCAAAACAGAGGCACAACTATTTCAGACTCAGTAGAACATTAAAAAATTAACGCTTAGTCATAATGTCTTTTATTTTGAAATAACCTACTTCCGGTTTTAGCAGCACATGGGCAAAAATCCCACGTTGTGTCATACCAAAATGGCATCCTCCGTCATAGAAGACGTGCTTATCAAAGTCGAAAAAGAAGAGGCTGAAAAGCTAAAAAGTATTACAGTCAACAAGGAGTTGGATCTGGAATTTGACACCGGGCTTCTGCTCGCCTATGATAAAAACCCGGTCGACAATCGGGACTTTAAAGACGGCAAGCAGGAAGAATTTCTGCTCTCGTTAGCCCGAGACAACACGCAACTTCTCATCAACGAGATATGGAAACTTGAAACGGAAAAGGTCGACCAGATAATCGTCGCCAAGCTACCAGAACCCACCACTAAACTACCCAGAGAAAAACCTGTTCCTAAACCAAAGCCTCCTACGAGATGGGAGCAGTTTGCCAGACTAAAGGGGATTCAGAAGAAAAAGAAGACCAACTTGGTCTGGGATGAGGTTCATAAAGAGTGGAAGAGGCGATGGGGATATAAACGTGCCAAAGACGACACCAAAGAATGGCTAATCGAGGTTCCGGGGTCTTCAGATCCTAACGAAGACCAGTTTGCAAAAAAGAACAAGGCAAAGAAGGAGAGAGTGGCCAGAAATGAGTACAGCAGACTGAAGAACATCGCCAGAGCTCAGAAGATAAAGGTTCCTGGCATGGGACTCCCTCCAACATCTAAACAGTCCAAAACTGAGTTGGCACAAGCTGTAAGTGTTGCCAAGTTTTCTACAGCATCTGCTGGGAAATTCCAGGAGAAGCTCCCAAAGGAGAAACCCCCAAGGAACACTGGAAAAAAGAGAAAATTCCAACCTCTCATCGGTGACTTTAACATCGAGAAGCAAAAACAGCTGGATTTATTGAAATTGATAGAAAGCAAGAAGCCTCGCATTAACATCACACAGGCTGTGAATAAACAGATGAGGGAAGAGGACATGGAAGCCAGAAATAGCAGGAAAGGCCCTGGAAAGGGGGGTCGTAAAGGAAACATGACTGGAAAAAGAAGAGGCAAGGGAAAAGGTGTTGGAAAGGGTCCTAAAGGCAAAGGTCGCAAGTCTCAGATGAAGCAGGGAAAGCGCTCATAAACTCAATGCAGACTTCCTCTGAGCAGAAGGTCCTTCAGCTGTGGTGTGAACGCTGTCATCTTGTCGTGCTTTGTGCTGGAGTTTGGTCATATACAGCTGATTCCAAGCCGTTGCTTATCATTTATTACAGTGTTGTAATGAAATAAATGTCAATATTTCTTGAAGCATCATCTATTTTTGGGACATTCAACCCGGTCTTGGGTCATGCATAAAAACTGATTCTCTCTTAAAAAAGTATAATTGTTTCTGGGAATGCTGCAAAAGTGACTGAGGCAAAAAAGGCAATTGTTATGTGATTTAAAAAGGTAAAATAATTGATGTGGAAATGGCTTAAAACTATTTTTATCTGATCCAAAACTTTGCAATGTGAGTAAATTGGTCATTTTTATAATGTATTTGTTGAGTTCTTAATGTGCTGTACATCCAGGGAGGGGAACATAAATATAATAATTAACTCTCACAGTAAAATTCACGTCACATAACATTTGGAACTCTTTAAACTTCAATTCCTGCACAGATATAAGTATACTCGAAATTCTGTGAGCCATTGCTCCATCACCTGGTTTTAAGATGTGTCAGTAAGACTTGAGATTTCTTGGGAGTCCACATCAACATCTGGTGGATTATTCTATTGACTATTGAAACCAGCCACTTTTACTTGTCAAAATTAACATAATGCTTGATTAAATATTACTTAACATTAGTCTCTTTTCACTTTGTTAATTGTGATTGATCACATTGTTTTTAAATGCTTCTGAAATTATTTCCTGCACGGTCAAGCGCCAGAAACCATCACTCTCTATGTTCCTGGTGGTTTAAGAAGTTTAGTTTAGCACTGTATTTTTTATTTCCAGCAGTATTTTTTTTTACTTTAGCAGAATTTAATTTAAAACATTTTTGTTACATTCTACGTCAAATACAAACAAATTCTATGATTTCAATCACAGAACTTTTGTACAAATTGTACTTTTAAAAGTTTTAGACTAATTGTGTTTTTTTTTTCGAAATGTAATTTGTTTTACTATTCTGTTATCTGCACACCTAAAAAACAAACAAAAACGTATTTTCAAATATTCCGATATTTATAAACGAATCAAAGTCTAAAGGGATTGGACAATATTGAACTAAATTTTTGGGTATAATCATGTAATTAATTTAAATGAAATGTATTCACCCATCCACTAAATTAGAATCAAGACGCCATATGTTGAAAATATTGAAGGGCCTCTCGTGATTTGATGGATGGTGTTTGACCAGCAACATCATCTCAGATCATGAGAGGGAGTTTGGGAGGGGAAGTGTCCATCTGTTGACTGCTGTCAGATCAGTAAAGCATCATTACTCAAACACTCAGACAGAAATATATAGGGCACATTTGATGCCAAAATCAATTAGTAGCTCTTGTGATTGGGTTTATGTAGCAACCGGTTTATAAACATGAATCAACATAATCTGACCAAAAGCACTATTTGATTAGATTTAAACATTGCAGATTATTTAGATTGTAAAGAACAAGATTTATGCAAAAGAGAGCTGGAGGGAGGTCCATTAACATGCAAACCAATGTTTTCTGTAAAAACGTAATGAACACTTACAGGAAATTCAGTTTGAGGAAACCTGTCAAACATCATATTTGTTTTGATGTTTCAATTGTAATATTGTTTTGTTAAAAATGATTTCTGAGTTGTTGTTTTTTCCTAGTGGGAAAGTCACTAATGGGTTAATTCTTAAAAACGGTTAGTGTGTTATGCATTCACCATGCACCTCAGATCACTCTGATCATCTTAAACCTGCTAAAATTTTATGATCAGGTTCGGATTTACACTATTTTTAATCAGGTTATTTTTACTATTTTTATTTTGCAGGTTTTTTTACTATTACTATTTAATCAAGTTAATCGTTCATATAAAGTATTAGTGCTACAATTATGAACATTACAATCACAACCTTAGCTAAATTACAGAAACAAGAAATTGGAGAAAAATCTAGTATGACCAGTGCATTGGAACACACTGGTAATAATCCTGGTTCAAGCTGGAGCAACAAGGCAAGATCAAATTAAGTTAAAGTTTACAAAGTTTTAATTTATTTCTATATTTTTGGACATTGAGTCTGACATTTTATTTAATTGAAAATTAGACAAACACGAAAAATGTAAACATCACAGAATCGTATACAAAGTTATAAAATGTACATTGAATTATCATCTCCATTATGAATTACACCTTCGTTATAAAACAAAGATTATCAATGAAAGATATACCAGTGGCAAAGGTTTCTGTCTTTCATAAAAAAAAACACTTTCACTTTTTAGATAAAGATTATTACTAAAAACATAATACTCTACATGTAATTTCCAATCAAATTACGATGAAATGAAGAAATCTCCATTATCAGAGTCAAATCTTAGAAACATCTCAAACAGTGTACACCAGAAGTATTTTGAAATTGTTGTTAAAAATTTTCGTATTAGCAGCCCAATCCTAGAACACCACACTTTAGACAATAACTGACAACATTCTACTACAAATTATCTAATTTAATTCCCAATTTTTTTATAAATAATTCAGCGTAATATCAGATTTAAAACTCAATTTGTTATTTATAACCGTATTATTCATTCGCGTACTTAATTAAATGTAATTCATACTCTCTCCGCTAGATGGGAGTAAGAGAACGGCTGCCCACAACAACTGGGCGCGTTTGTAAAATGGTGACGTCATTAAATGGGCGCTGCACGAATTTAGTTTTCTTTACGTTTAAAAGCAATCGTGAAAGTAAAAAAAATATTTAAAAAAGAATCTTTGTTTGACATTTTTTTTAACACGAAGAGTGTTACTCATGCTTCTGGTTGTATTTTGCGCTCAAACAAAGTTCAAACCAGGCTAGGAGACAGCAGTGCAGAGGTCCCTGGGGAAGGCACGGGGTGAGTATGCCACCAAACATAATGAGTCTGCAAATTAGAGATCTTGACGCCCATCGACCCCCATGAACACTCGGGGCCAGCTGCTGCTTCAGCATCAGTCTCCAGAACAGGTGGCCCAGCCCCAGCACCTCCTAAACCTACAATAAACACAGATATTATAACAGCAGTCAAGCCCAACATCAATTCTGCCATTTGGAGACCTCCCTTGTAAAGGGGGTTACTGCATTTGGGACAAAGACAGAACCATCAAGGTTGTGTTTGGTTATTTTTAAAGTCTAATTCAGCAATATAGATTTAGAAGCAGCTGTGGTGGTGTGTACTATTTTGTGTTTTACTTATCTATAACCATCTCAAACCTTGTATTTTGATGACAATTTTAAACTTGTGTTTCATCACAGATCTCCTGCATTAAAGACAGAAAAAGCAACATTTAAAAATAATATATATGCAAACAATTCTAATCCAGCAATTCCTTAATGGTGACTGCCCTGAAGGGTCTTCTGCAATCTATAGCCCAGAACCTGTTTAGCAATCAAGGTGAGTTGTATTATAATTTGCTGTGCTACTTTGATATGTGGTGGTTCTGGAGCTGCTCAGAACAGTCTGTCACTTGTCTCCCCTGGAATCTGGGTCATGGGGAATAAACAGTGCCTTTGTGTAGGTTGTTTCCTCTTTGTGTTCCCCAGCAGAGGCAGGCTACAAACCTCTAAGGGGGAGGGCGCTTTCCTGCAGGCCAAATTTGAGGCCCAGGCTCACCCCAGTGTATCTTGTTCAGGCACTGTTAAAAA